CGATTGCGATAGTCACCACTACGTACTTTCCAATAATTACAAAAACATCCCGATAGTCTAAATAGAAGTAATGATTGCAACATAAATAGAATATAGAAAATCATTCTCCTAGTCATCAAAAATTGATCGACTCTTCTTCTCTCTTATACCTCCTGCACTCTCTCTCTGTCCTTCTAATGCCTTCTATTACATCCTTAAACATCGTGTATAAATCGAGTCCTTCGAAAAAGCAGATCAGTATCAGGACTGTCAGGCTGCTCCTCGCTCTAATAAAGTGAACCGCAATGTTCACGAAAAGTATTCTAATAACGGATCTAGACACAGAGATAACCCGCAAAACGCGCTATATCTTCTGTATCCGTGAAAATCTCGGTAAATATTTCGATAAACATTTGTTACGCGGCTCGATAATTTCGACGCACCCTGAGCAATAATTGCTTTTTAAGTAACAGTATGACACGTTATTTAGAAAATCAGTAACTATAAGTATAGTTACTTTTTTTTATTCGATAACTGTAATTAGTTAGGTTGAAATAGTAACTTTCCAATCCCTGTTATGTCTAACATTGTATATGTACCATAATAATAATAATTATTATTATTATGGTAATATAATATATAATTATTGTATAATCGCAAATATCAGAAATTTTTCTCTCAGTGCACATTTATAATACTTACAAATATTTTGATAAGAGATATTTCGATATTTTCAATTAATTTTAATCTGCTGCAATTATACAGACCGTTTTGATCTGAATGCATACACATTTATTATTTTATTTTATTTTGTATTATATCATTATTTATTTACTTCTTTCAAAAAAAAAAAATAATAATAATAATCGCTCCACTGTCCATGACGAGAAAATTCATCGTAATTCTCCATTAGCGTTGAATCTATTTTTAAACAGCCATTTTCGTAATTTTTAAGACAACTGGAGTAATTAATCATTCTTTAAAACTGTACTTAAAATTACGCTGCGTAGGGCGTGAAATAAAAATGAAATGAATTAAAAAGAAACATCAAGAAACGATCAAATATTTCTTATAAATTTCTCAATTCGAAAAATGGCAGCATTTATTATGAAAGCGCAAGTAACATATTTGTGATAAGTAGATATTTTAGTTTCCTACGACAATTTCACATAATTTTCAATATTATTTTCATATAATTTTCAGTATTATTGAATATATACTAAGAGAAAGAAATGCAGTGCCATAGATAACAACTATACCAGTTTTATATAAAAATAAATGATTATAATGTTTATCATAAATAATTATTACAATGACGATGTTCATTGTCATTATTATCATAACTATTATAGTTTTATCTCTTTCATACGTTTCATGTGCAAAATTAATACACACACACACA